CTACTTCCTGGTTTCTCCCTCTGTTGGAGTCTGATTTGTTCTCTACCACAGTACGTTGTTGCTGATAGTGTCTGGCCAACGGATCTGAAGTATTTTGTGTAGACAACTGTTAATAAATACTTGTATCTTCTGAATGATGTCTTTCGTGGTTCTTCAAGTTTCCACCCCATACAGTAGAACTGTCTTTACATTTGTATTGAAAATTGTGACTTTGTTGTAGGTTGATAATTGTTTTGAGTTGCAGATGTTATTCAATTGTAGAAATACTACCCTAACCCAACATAACTGGCTGATAAAATCTAATCTTTCTTTCTTCTACTGCTATACCGATTCATAGTTAACGCCGTCTTTAAAATAACCACGTCAAAATATTGATTTTCTGCTTATTATTTGTTCAATTACTCTGTGTTTTGTTTTGTTTTGTTTTGTTTAGGGTGATCAATGTGATCAATGTAAACCGGGAACTTTCGGTTTAAATATTGATTATTCATTGGGATGTTATACATGTTTTTGTTTTCCAACTGGTTTATCATCACGATGTAGTCAATTGACAGGTTATCGTTCTGTTCCAGGAAAAGTTAATGGAGTTGAAGTAAGTATCATGAATAGTTTGTATGTATTGGATTTTGAACAGAGAAGTGGGAAGACATATTTTGTGAGATAGTAAGTACCATTTCGTGCTTTCTCGTCAGTCACATACAGTTTTGAAGATAAGGTCAAAATTTCTTATTTAGCATGACATTCACTCACTCACTAGAACCACCATGGTAAACAAAGGTCAACATACAGTTAGTTGTTTTTGAATACATAAAGTTGGACTTTTCCGATCAATCAAGATAGCTTCGAGTAGTTTCAGTGTGTGTGTGTGGGTTTCGATGACATGTCACAACTCTATAAAGGCTGATTTTGGGTCAATTTGATGACCACTCATCATCATTAGATGTTTTGCAATGGACGAGGCTGGGTTTCTTGATCGATTTTGAGATGATGGGCTAGGTGGTGGATGAATCATGGATTTGATTAACCATTTTGGAATATGTTACCCTATCCTGTCTTCCAATCGGCGATCTGTCCGAGAAAGTACGAAATGGTACTTACTATCTCACAAAATATGTCTACTCATTTCTCGGTTCAAATTTATCAAAGGGAACCACTGTTTTGTATTCGATTTCATCGTTGTCTGTTATAAGTGGAAGGAATTTGTAAATCAGCGCAACAGTTTAGTAAAACAGGATGAATGCCTTGTAATTCTCGATGTTTTCTTGCATTTTTAGTATGATGAAGATCGTTGTTTTACATTGTTACACCGCCATGAACACTGAAGTTAGATAATAATACCTTTAGATATTGACTCATAAGGTCCAAGGGTTAAGCATTCAAACTCCAGTCTGAAGGTCCTAGGTTCGAATCCTACGAAAAGAAGGAGTCGTGGATGCGCACTGCAACTGATGAGTCCCATACATACCAAGACAAAACGTCCGTCATCAACTGATTCCAGGTTTCTATTGGTGATGAGGCGATGATATGTTCATGAATTCTATGGGACACAATGTTCTATAAATTTAGATTGAATAAGACAGAATATACATTACGAAAACTAACAAGAATTGAACATGTTAGGATATTTTATTACAATTTTTATTTTACTATCGGACAAAAATTGAAGACATTTATAAACAAAACAACATGTTATTTGTTGTGTTCTAACTGTTACGTTTTAGCAACCTGTATACAACAAAGATTGACTGTTTTCTGATCATACTGTTGGGGACGTTAGATCCCCAAAACTCACTTAGAAAAAATCCTAACTTTGGATTTTTTTTATGTTTTCGCGCATGAGTTGCTCAGTTGACCTTGAGGTTATATTTCCCGCTTGAGAAATCCTTGACTGTCATTGGTCGATGGATTATATTAGTACACTATATTTGTGGTTCTCTCACGGGCGTTTCTATCGTGTTTAAAAACGCTCAATTTGACCGCGTGTCAACCTGGCATTTTCTGTGTGCTTGCAGAATACACATTTTACGCCTTATTAAGACTTCTTGACAAAGTTAGCCGGCCAAGAGAGTAGCCTATCATGTCAGCGAGTCATTGCTTCGTCCCGTTTTCCAAGTAAGGTGGACTCATAATAGCGTTCAAGCATATCATAAACAAACTATCTTTCCAAGACCTTATTTTTACTTACTTACTTACGCCTGTTGCTTTTCATGGAGCATAGGTCGCTGACCAGTATTGTCCAACCTTCTCTGTCCTGGGCCTACTCAATCTACCTGGAGCCCCTCTGAGGCTACCACGACTACCAGAAAAAAAGTCAATCCAAAGATCCTGCTTCATGTTACATAGTTTACGTTCTTATTGAATTTGATCATTGATTTGTGAAACTTTAAGCATTAAAACCCTGAATTTACCTGACTTTTGTTTAAACTTAAACACAGAGCTACTCAACATTATGTTGCTTACAATGTCAGCATGTAGTACAAAGGAAACTTTTAAGTTTAGGTGCAAAAATACATCACCTTCTGAAACATTGAGTTGTCAGTCAGTCCATCAGTTAGTAGAACTTCGTACGTACGTGTGTATATCAGTTCAAGTTGCCATACCACATTAACACACAGAAAGATACAATTGTCAATTTAAATCCTATATTAGTAGAGGTAGTAGAAGTATTAGCAGTAGTGGAGAAGATTAGTGACTGAAAATATGATTCAAGAATTTTAATTTCAATCTATTTTATGATAATGTATCAAAGATTTAGTAAATAGTATAGTTGAAGTCAAGACTAACCCCCTAGATGGTCAGTTAAGTGAATTACGAACTCAATCTACTTACTATAGATTCCATGAATAAAATTCGTATTTCTAAATTTCATTGTTTACTAAAAGATTCATGATTTTAGTAAGATTAATTGATTATTTGTGGATTTTATGAAAATTATAAGTTGATCATTGTTAGACCAACAGTAGTAGTAGTGTGGTGCGAGCTACTTATTAGTATTTTAAAGATTCCCATTGTGAAAATTAGAACAACACATATAAGCGAACAATATTGTTTTCGATTAGATCGTCATCAGGCTTTACTCTAATATACATGAATATTTATATGAAAATGTTAAACCAATCAAGGCAATTTGAGTGATAATCACAATGAAATGAAAAAGGCAAAAGTACAAGTGGATAGTAGGAAGATAGGTGAACCGATAGTAGTAGGACAATTTATAAAATATGATAACTAAAGTAGGTCAAGGGTGGATGAATAGAAATCAAATAATCATCAAAAACATCAAAAACATTACGGAATAAGCAGATGTGTAAAAATAATAAAAATAATAAAATTAAATTAAAATAAATAAAATATATATATAATGTCAATCGTTAGTTACGTCATATCCGGCCACGGAAGAGATAGGGGTGTCACGAATTTTTTCTGAACACATAAATTAGGGTTGAATGTGCGTATTCCTATGGCTTCTGCAATGTGTAGGAGACGGGATCGAACTCCGTTGGGAAATGATGGAGGTATACGATAGATCACCCGAAAAGATCTAGATTTATCTACAATGTGACCACTATCTACCAGGTGTGCTAAGATAGAACTGCGTATTGTTTTTGACTGACCCTTTGTAAACCATGCTGGTAGATGTTCACTCATTCGTTGTGTAAGTTGCCTGGAAGTACGCCCGATATAGCTATCTCCACAGGAGCAGCTGAATTTGTAAATGCACATAGAGGAGGCCAGCTCAGGTAACTTATCTTTCGTTTGAGTAGACATCGCAGGTCGACTGGAGAAAGTCAATGCAAGTTTTGCAGCGTTGAATGTTCTGTTGATTACTCTTCTTAATCTATCCTGCAGAGTATCGCAGGCCACATCTCCGTTGAATTGCAGCTTCATAAACAAAGGCTTCTTTCGGGCAGTCGAAACCACCGGCTTCTTTTTTACGGCAGACATATACTTCTTTAAGAATGCGCTTGGATAACCAATCTCGGTTAGTGAGCCGTTGATGAATTCCAGCTCCTGACTTACAGTATCCATTGAACATATCATATTTGCTCTGTAAGTGAGACATCTAACCAAATTTCTTTTGTAGCGGATAGGTGTAAAACTACAAAAGTGAGTGTATTGGCAAGCACTAGGATTTTTCCTATACACGCTTCTACTTAGTGAACCATCCTTTCGCCTACTTAGTGTGATGTCAAGGAAAGACAGTTTTTCATCATATTCTTCTTCCCCAGTGAACGTGATTGCCGGGTGTACATTGTTGAATTGTTCTAAAAGTTTTTCTTTCCTGGTGTCCTGATCTACAATGATGAATGTGTCATCGACATAACGGCAATATAGATCAAGTTTTTGAATAACTTCGTTCAGGGGTCCATTTTCTAGCTTTGCTAGAAAGAGATCAGCTAGAATCGGGCCTAGAGGTGAGCCCATGGCTATACCGTCTATCTGCCTATAATAATTATTGTTGAATACAAAATGGACATTCATCGTGCATCTTAGGAGTAATTCCTTAAGGCAATCTTCGGGCAATCCAATGTTGATTTGTTTTTCTTTAATTTGCTCGCATATGAAATCAATAGTCTCGAGGAGTGGTACGTTAGTGAACAACGAAACCACATCCAGTGAGATCATAATTTTCTTGCTAACATTCATACTTTCCACTTTGGAAGTGAACTCAAAAACATCTTTTACACTTCTTTTCACAACTGATTTATGTAAAGGCTCTAAAATTCGTACTAACCACTTCGCAATTTTGTGGTAAGGAGAATTGTACATATCAAGGACCGGGCGCAGAGGAAGACCCGATTTGTGGATTTTAGGCAAGCCATATAGTCGTGGTGTATATGATCCAGTCGGTTTAATCGAGTCGTGAATTTCAGACGCAATTACTCCCTTTTTCTTTAGTTCTTTAAGCGAATTAGTCAGTTGTTTTTCCACTTTTTTATTGATGTCGTTATTACTGGTGACTTTCTGAAATTTGCTAGGATCATCTAGCATTCCTTCCATTTTAGCAATATAATCAGATTTATTCATCAGAACTATACCTCCCCCCTTGTCTGGTTTGCTCATGATCAAAGTATCATCTTTTTTGAGTTTAGTTAGAGCCTCACGGTGCAGTTTAGTAAAAAGGCGATTAGTAGAACGCTTACTGTTTTTATATTGTTGGCAGCTATCGACTAAAGTTGTCTTAAATCTAGCGACATCCTCCACTGAGGTGGGGAACAGGTCGGTTGTTTGTGAAAACAAATTTTCAAACTGCACATCGGTGTCTAGGTGATTGATTTTCTGACCATTATCACAAAATTTTGGCCCCAGGGACAAAGCCTCTAACTGTATTACATCAAGTTCAATGTCTGAAAAATTGTGTACGTACCGAGTCGGATCCAGTGGAAATTCCTTTTCCGGTTTTTGTTTTTCCAGAGTTTTCACTAGCTTATTCATTGTCTTCTCAGATCTGTTTTTTGAAACTTTTCCGACATAATCCATAAATAGTGAATGAATTTCCGATGGCAGGTTATCAACGAAATGTTGTCTGAGAATAAGATTCCTATCCAAGTCGCGGATATTCATTTTTAAAGTATCTATTTCATTGGACGC